GTCAGAAAAACAGTTACCCAATCTGTCAGATCTTCTCAATATAATGTTAAAATCGCCTTCAACCACACCTCTATTCCCCCAAGTGAATTTAACATGCGATAATTTCTCACCCAACATATTCCGTTCCACACTATTACCTCTGCAGCAAACACCAAAAAAATGTCAAGAATCGCCATTAATCAAATTAAAAAAGAGACAAGATAGGATGATCTCACCATAAATGACATTTTGACAAAGCACCCAATCTTTTCTCCACATGAGCAGAATGCCTCCGGCAGAGGCTTTAGCCGGAAAGAAATGTCAACCAATGTCATCCATACGCCAAAGGCTCTTTATGATTGTCTCATTTATGGATTCCAACTTCGTCCCTTGAAAGCAAATGATGGTCAGCTTCCACCTGTTGAGACAACCTCTAATAATACTTCTTTTTCTTGGATCGTTAATACCTGTGACATTCCATGATAAAATTTTGTCTAAAATTTAGATACTTGAACTTCACCCCCCCTTCCCTTGTTCTTCTTCTTATGCCCTTCATAATTGATAGAGTATTGGAGTCGTTTTAGTTCTCTTGATCCCCCCCGGTTCTTCTTTTCTTCACAGAGTTCAATAAAAGTTCTTTACTTTTCTTGTCACCCATTCTCTTTTCCAGCTCCACAAACAGTTAATTTGCTTCATTTTCATAACCAGAGAAAGATGCTCTGAGGTACATAATGATACAACAGATGTCTTGGAGTATCCACTCAGAGTGGAATTGAACATCATAGTTTTGATTGTCTTTTAGGACTCAGCTTAGTGTAGTAATTACTTCAAGCAAACCATTTTCCTTACCAAATTGAGTAACCCACTCGAATTGATGATCTGATTCTAGGTGGACCATCACCATCTCCAGACCCGAGCTAGGAAAATGCTCTTTGACGGCTTCAAGATTCACGACTGGACTAACTGGAACATACAACTTGGAGTTCTAGTTGTTAGAGCAAAACAGAGTTGCTGCCATATCATGACAGAAACCTTTGAAAGGATTTGTGATCGGTTCATGAGAGTTATTCGCAGCAACTTCTTCGGATTCATCAGGATGCTGCCCGATAGAGGAAGTCTAGTTTTGGAATTTCTTCTTTTGTCTCCAAACCCATTTTACTTTTGGAGTTCTCTTTTTCGAACTGATAGTTCTCCTGACTTCCTTACTTGGCCCAGCTTGATTTGTCTACCTCCCTTTCTCAGCCCAAGTGAATCTGGGCTTTTTGCTTTTACTCATTCGGTTGCTTTAACCCAATGTTAGCAGACCAAGAGATCTCATTTCGGATCAGGTCGCAATTAGGGTTGGTAGAGACTTTCCCACTGTTGAAAGACGAATGTTGAATTTCAAACCCAGATACTGTCAACCGGGTCAGGTAAGCACTTTTTTGTCCAAACTAGATCCGTATTGGGAGTTTTCAGAGTCGCGGCGAACGACCTCCCTTCAGCCGTCGCAAGTACAACGTGAAGGCTGTGTTTGCATTTCGGGCAGCATAGGAAAACAGAGGAAACTGTGGAATTATCCTAAACTGGTTTGAAACAAGGATCGATCCATACATTATCACCAAGTTTCTTGAAAGGGTTCACAACAAGAACCTCAGCGATTTCGAAAATGGACTTCATGACGCGCCACCAGCCTCCCGCCTCAAAGCCATCGGCGAAGAATATTCTTTTGATTGATTTTTCTCTTTCCTCCGAAAGCACTAGGAAGCGGCCTCTTCTATTCCAGCCCAAAGTCAAGAAAAGATGATGGTGTCAACCTTTTTTGTTTTCCCCCATGTCTCTCCGCCCTTGTTCCAGTAAAAATCACTCAGAATATGTACGATCCAAGCGACTTCATCTTTGTTCAGAGTGATGGATACTCTATTTTCCATTTGATTTTCACTGATTCTTAGTCCATCAAGTTTTTTGCCTTCACATACGATATTAAAAGATTTTCTACCGATAAGAACGAATCTTCTAGCATTAACCGAAAGCATATTTGGATAAACAAAGGTTTCCAATCGGCTTTACGACCGACCACGTCGTAGAGGGTTTCCCCTAGCGCTCTATTATCGTTCTAAAGATGAGTGTGGGAAGAGTGAAGGTTTGAAACTAGATGAGAGATGGAATTGTTGAGATAATTTTAGAGAAAGAGAGTGTGTACCACGTGTTAATCGCCGGCTATCTTAAAATATTTTTTGAATATACATATAATTAACTTACATAAAGAAAAAGAGAGTACATAAAATATGTTATAATTAATCAACACATTAAAAGTTGTCCAGAGTCAATAAGACTTCGAGAGATTACGTGATTAGGTATGTTCCCTTTTAAGATGAGGGATTGGAAAGAGAGGAGAAAAGGAAGATCATATCCACATAAACATGAAAACAAATAAACATAAAGCCACCAAATGTCTTTGTAAAATAGAAAGAGACACCGTAAAAAGATCGTGCTCCTTAATGCAAAAAGATGGAATGTCATCCATCCAAAGCAATTGTGTTGGTTGATAATTTTTAAAAATCATGACATTTCTCGCCAATCAAAACAGTCATAATCGAGCAAACGCAGTCCTCCTCCATAAACAGTCCAATCTCCTTCGTATCAAAGGCATTGATGGAAGACAAAATAAAACATTATAGAGAATGAGAAGGAAATCCATTTTGTGCCTGAGACCTAAAGTCTGCAAACCACATCACAATGTAGAGACAAATCACTATGAAACTCGAACATATGGAGAGACGAAATAGATTTAGTGAATGCACACAATTCGGTCTATGTTCCTGAGACAAATTGTTAAAGCAGGTTGAGACCATGGTCCAAATGAACACATATTGGAACACGTGAGACACTCTTAAGCTCAGCTTTGTATTCTTAATACTCATTTAGTCAGTTAAGGTACGTTCTTTAATTTTAGATTCCTAATACCCAAACTTTTTATCTTTGAGGACAACTTGGGGAACCCTATAGATACTTCGGTTTCTTGTTACAAACTATAAATCTTCTTTTGTATACTGGTGGCATCACTTGGTGCTTTGTTAATACTATCTCTCTCTTTTTCCTCTACAAGAATAAATAAGAGTGAAACTAACCCCTAAGGAGAAAACAAACTCTTCCAACAATCTGAATGCTTAAAGATTGTATGCACCACAAGGTCCAAAAGGAAACGACCCTAGGATTAACCCCTAGAGGAACACCAAGATAAATGCAAGGTCACTATAGAATTCCATAATCAATAGAATTAGCCAGAACTCCCTCAAGCACTATGCACCAATGCTAATACCCTCTTGAGGTTAATATGCAAGTCTAAGATAGAGTAAAAAAGGTACTAGATAGTAAGCATATAGAATTTCAGATGATCATAAGAAAGAAAAAATATCTTATCATTTGCAAACTGACGATAGGAGATTTCCAACCAATCCAGACCAAATCTTAAAACCCTCTAACATGCCTCTATCAGAACCTCTTGAGAGCAGAACATCAACAACAACGGTGAAGAAAAAAGGAGAATGGGGATACTCTTTTGTCTCAATTAAGAATGATAATAGATCAAATTTGGGATAGTTTTTACAAAGCTTGAGATGGATCGTGTGAGTCAGTTTGGGTGTAACAGGTTACGGTTATTTTTGCTAACCCTATCCCAAGCCACGATGCCCTTAAGACTAATTTCTTAGCTTCTTGATTAACTCATACAGCACAAGTAACAGAAAAGAAGAAACCCAAAATCCAGTTTCTCCATCTAAGACCAAAACCCTTTCAAGACATATCCAGAAAGCCCAATTTACTAGGTCATAAGCTTTCTCAAACCAAAACTTGCTACCAGGCCTTTGTTTCCGACCTTTGTGCCATCCTCAATCGTCTAATTGGAAATAACAAAGATATCCAAATTTGCCAACCACCAATAAAGTATAATATTTTCCTTTGCTTCCATAACTAGACGAAACTTGACACATTAGACCATATATAACTTGATAATGAGCTTGCTCTGATACCAATTGCAATTGATGCGGGACAAGTTGAAAATGAGACCAACTTGTCAAGAAATAGTATAGAAATAAGAGAAACAGAGATAAGAAAATAGAATAATATGAGAAAGACTATGGCAAATCAAGGATAAAGGTGAAGAAATAGATGGAATGGGTAGATTAGGCAAAACGGGTAGAGAAAAAAACACAGAGATAACAAATAGTAGAAATTGACTTCTTTGTTTAGTATACTTAATTCTTTTAATACGATTTCGAAGTCAAATAGTAGTCTCAACCTTAGATCCCTCAAGAACCTATACATGCAAAGTCTATTTTGAATTTTTTATCAGCTATCCTATTAGTAAAAAATGTCCTCTGGTTCTTTTTGGAAGGTCAAAGTTTCTTCTAAGAGTAGAGTGTTCATTTCGATTGTGGTCCTCAATGATATTAACATTAATGTTATGTTACAAGTGTGCAAACATCATCAAGCATTTATCCCTACATATCCATTTGATGTCTTTGCATAGTTTTGGGTCCAACAGTCATTTGTTCTTTGTTGTGATGCAGCTTGGAAGACCCAATCTAAACTCTTTAATACACTGGATGCTTGTTGAGTCTGTCCCTAAACGACTCATTTTTCTTAATCTTCAAAATCAAGTGGCTTTGAGAGGACTAAGGAGCATAAGTTGTTAAAAGAGGAGTTATCATTATTGGCTTTAGATCTTGTGGTTGAAATAGATCCTAACGTTTTCAATAACAATTCCCTACCACCTCATTTTTTATGGGAATGAATTATGTCTCTAGCCTCTCTCTAGCTAAGGATGATGATTTCCTTTAAGGGCTGCCCTTTATCTACTATGTAAAAAGATATTATTTCACTGATGAATTTCTCTTTTCTTTTTGAAGAATATCTTATTCTCCCTTTACTATACTTCTCTTCTCAATAATGTTTTCTTCTTTTATTAAAAAAGAAAAATTACAAAGCAGGAAAAAAAAATTGCAAAGCAAGAAAAAAAAAACAGATAATACTGCACTAACCTGCCCATTCAGTAAATCAGCAGTTATCATCATGCCGGGACCTAGACGGCCTTTCATGGTAATTTTTGATTCGTCCACAGGTAGAACACCAACCTATATAAGATGATAACGCAAGATTAATATCCTATTAGAGGGACCCAAAATATAATCAACAGTTTCAAATATCTAAGACAGCAAAGATCTTAGGTGGATCTCATCAAGTTCTAAGCAGTCATCTACTTGTTTAAGGCCATATCATTTTCTTTACAAAAGAAGACACATTATTAAGAAGAAAGTAAAATAATTATAATCCAAGGGAGAATCTGCTTTTCTCCAAAAGCCAAATAGCCCATTTTCAACATAATTATAGAAGATCTAAATTTATGAGTGGAATTTCCCCTGCAAATTTAAGGATCCAAATTCCCCTATGCCAACTGTTAAAGAATGTACTTTATGTATAAATAGGGTTAAATTAGATCAAATGATATTAAAATAAAATACACCCTTTGCAATTAATTGTACTTTTCCTTTTTCTTATCCCTAAAACTTGTATATATAAGAACGTATTATTCAATGAGAATATAACACAATTATTCCTGACATGACATCAGAACTATAGGTTTAGAAACAGATCACTGCATAAGGGGACATCCCAACTTGAGAGGGAGTGTTATAGAATGCACTTTATGTATAAACAGGGCTAAACTAAAGTAAAGGTTACTAAAGTAAAATACACTTCTTATAGTTAACCGTAACTATCCTTATTTTGTCCCAAGAACTTGTATAGATAGGAAATACGACACAATAATTCTTGACACCAACTCCCAAATACAGCAGTTTTCAGGAAGGTTTATAAATGGTATGACTTGTTCTATTTTCTGAGTCACCTTAATAAGAAGCTCATTTAATTATATCTCTTTAAAAAAACATGAAATTTATCACATTGCTATGTGAGATTTAGAGCTCTTTCGCTAGATACTAACCAGCTTAAAGATCCAAGTATGAGCAAGATAGATATGACTATAGTCAGGTAGAGTTTCATAGAGATGGTGCAAAAAATAAATAAAAGACATGAAACTCACCTCAGAGGCAACATACACAACATTATCTTTTGTCCTCCAATACCTTGCAGGTCGCAGTCCATTCCGATCAAGACAAGCCCCAACTGTTTTTCCATCACTGTGCCCGCGTGAAGTAAAATAAGCATCAGAAAGTAAAATAAGGATTAGGGAAGAAAAGTCGGCAAAGAAAACTGTTCATAGACAGAGATTTATTTCAGAAGAATGGTAAAACAGCCTTTAGGTCAAACACCTGAACCATTAGCTCATGCCATCAGAACCAAAAACAGTGATTTCACATATTCTACTGGACGAAACGTGACAATCTGTAAAAATATTTTTACTTATTTATTTGTATTTCTTTTAGACAAAAAAGATTTAAAAGAACTAAATTTATTTCACCTGATCTATTAATATTGTCTGTCATGATCGTGCATGCTAGAGACATTATTGTTACTAGTACTATGAAAAGGTATTTCCATTACTCCTTTTTTAGACTAATTCCATTGTTCGACTTCCAGAACACTTTTCGTTACTGTCTAGGGTCGATAAGACTTTTTTTCTTGTCTGTACAAAGTACAAACCATGGACTTCATCAGACAAACACCCGCAACAAAATGCAACATCCTCGTCACAAATGTTTGGAACCTAGGGGATAATCAGATAATATGAAAAAAAAGAAAATTATTAATTAAACAGAAAATCCATTCAAATACTTTCTTTCCGGATAAAGTTTTCACTTAATACCCAGAGATCCACACTTGACTAAGGCTTTGTTTAGTTGTTTTCAAGTTGCTTTTTTTAACCCTACTCATTTTTGAAAAATCAGTAGGTTATGTATTTATTAATTATTTTTATTTAAAAAAAACAAACAAATATTAGCTGCTGTGGGGAAAGCAACCATATAGCTACTTTCCCAAAATTATAAAATTTGCTTTCAGAAAAAGTAAGAAAGACAACTAGTGAATTTCTATTAACCACAACAATTAGATGCAAGCTTGAGGGTGCCTCTAGCATCAAGGATTTTGAACCTATTAACTTATTTGGTAGCACCTGAAAACTTCTTGCAACGGTGCTCAGTTCCAAACTCAAATGGGTCTTCAGGAGTGTGGTTGGTGAGTCTTGTAAAGGGTTATAAAAGAAAAATACTGAATAATTCTTATATTATTATTGAAATGAGAAGTAGAGATATATATAGACGGATTCATATATAATAAGCACCATAAATTACCCTAACTATTTTCTTCCTAATTACGCTTACATATTTAAAAAGATAATTATATTATTATATATAGAGAATATTGTATAATGTTTTAACACTCCCCCTCAAGTTGAAGCATAGATATTAATCATGTTCAGATTGTTTCGAAAATATTCAATCCATGTTCCATTCAGAAGTTTTGTAAATACATCACCAAGTTGTTCTTCTGTTTTCACATAACCAGTAAATATAAAATTTTCTTAAATTTTCTCTTGGATAAAGTGATAATCAATCTCAATATGTTTAGTTCTCTCATAATACACAGAATTTGAAACAATATGAAGCGCAGCCTAATTATCGCACCAGAGTTTTGCAGAAGATGTGAGTTTCAAACCAATTTCATCTAACAAATGATGTATCCATAAGATTTCGCATGTGAACTGGGCATAACTCTATATTTGAACTCTGCATTTGAGCGATATACAATTGTTTGCTTCTTACTTCTCCATGATACGAAATTTCCACCAACAAAAATACAATAATCCATAGTAAACCTCCTATCAATCTTAGATCCAGCCCAATCAACATATGTACAATATTCAATGCGAGTATGCTCTTGATTTCTGAAAACTATGTCGAGTTCCGGGGCACCTTTTAAATAACACAAAATATGTTCCAAAGGCTCCTAATGTTTGACTGTAGGTACCGACATAAACTGGCTAACAATACTGACAGGGTATGCAATATCTGGACGAGTCACAATAAGGTAATTCAATTTCCCATCAAGTCAACTGTATTTCATGGGTCATCAAGGGGATCACCATCATCTTTAGTAAGATATACATTTGGTACTATTGGTGTACTGCATGGCTTAACTCTCAATTTTTCTCTTTCTGCAAGTAGATCAAGTATATACTTTCTCTAAGATAACAAAATCCCTTCCTTACTTCTTATTACTTCAACTCCCAAAAAATATTTTAGTTGTCTCAAGTCTTTGATATTGAACTTGGTATCATCAACATAAACAACAACAAGTATAATATCAAATGTTGATTGTTTACAGAAGACTGAATGATCACACTTACTTTTTTTTAATCCGAACTCACATACTACCTTACTAAACTTGTCAAACCATGCACTAGAACTCTGCTTTAGACCATACAAAGATTTGTTAAAATAACAAACTTTCTTGTACTCCCCCTGAGCAATAAACCCAAGTGGTTGCTTCATATATACTTCTTCTAAGAGATCACCATAAAGAAATGCATTTTTAAAATTTGGCCATTAGAGAGAATGTATTAGAATATTCCACCTCATAAGTTTGAGCATAGCCCTTCGCTACCAGTCGAGCTTTAAGTCTTGTCACAGAGGCATCTGAATTCACTTTGATTGCAAATACCCATTTGCACTATACAATCTTTTTTCCTTTGGGTAAATCTACCAGATCCCAAGTATGATTATCATCAAGAGCATTTATCTCCTCGAGCATAGCATTACACCAACCAGAGAGATTCAGAGCCTCCTTTACTATCTTGACTATAAAGATTGAATCTATATAAGCAATTAAAGTACTAGACGAAGGAGACAGATGGTCATATGATATAAAATTAGCAATTGGATAAATTGGTGTAAGAATGGTGTATTGATGTTTACCTTTAAGAAGACCAATGGGAAGATAAACGTTTTGTGCGGCAGAATCAGATAATGATGAATCTGATGCAAGACATATATCATCAGTTTGTTATCTTCTGGATAAATATGAATAATTGATGGTGGTACTTGGGTCAAAGACACATGAACACTATCACCAACTTGCTCGAGTAGAGCTGGAGGCACATGATTTGGATGAGTACTTTTATTTGTTTGCTCAGTAAAGGCATCTGGTGTGAAACTATAAATGAGCAACTAGTTGTCTGTCTCCAGATTTGTAGACTTGGACGATAAGAAGAACGGTATATTTTCTGAAAAAACTACATCAGTTGATATCAAATTTCTATTAAGATCTGAAGAGTAGCTCCTGTATCCTTTTTGGAAGCGAGAATACCCCAAAAATACGTATCTCAAGGCCTTTGGATCCAATTTTGTCACAGTAGGTTGCACATCTCTAACATAACAGGTACTACCAAATATTTTAATTTGCACCGGAAATAAAGATTTGTTCGGAAAAATGAAACTGTAAAGAACATTCCTATTAAATACTATAGATGGCATACGATTAATCAAGAAACAAGCTGTATAAACAGCATCAGCCCATAATTGCTTAGGAACTTGTGTTTGGAACATGAGAGATCAAGTTGTCTCAAGTAAATGTTTGTTTTTTCTCTCAGCGACCCTATTTTGAGATGGTGTATCAACACACGAGAATTGGTGAAGGATCCCGTATTGAGTCATGTAGTTCTAAATGAATCTGATATATATTTCTTAACATTATCACTCCTCCATACATGCACAGAAATATTGAATTATGTCTTGATTTCAGCACAGAAAATACAAAAGTGAAAAAATACTTTCGAACAATTTTTCATAAAATATATTCAAGTCATGCGAGAAAAGTCATCGACAAAGTTAACGAAATACTTGAATCCAGTTTTGGACGAAACAGGGCAGGGCCCCCAAACATCATAATGAACTAACTCAAAAGTATATTAAGTTCGTCTATTGACTCTTGAATCTAATAGACTACGGTGATGTTTTGCAAACCGACATGACTCACAATCCAGTGATGATACATCATGAAATTGATGACATAACTTTTTCAACACAAGTAGAGATGGATGTCCCAATTGACAATGTGCTTCAAATGGAGAGATAATACTAAAGCAGGCAATTGATGGAGATACCCAAATATCAAAAATGTAAATACCATCTGACATATTTCTTTTACCAATAATATGTTTCGTCATAAGATCTTGAAGAACACAATAATCAGGAAAAA